ACTCAGCCCCATCATCACTCAGGCATCGATACAAAAAAGTACCACTTTATGGGAAAGTTTGGTTGTCCAGTGAATATAATCGCCTCCTTTTTTAAATCCTTTATATTAAGTTCGCTTGCTTGCTTGCTTGCGTGCTTGCGTGCTTGCTTGCTTGCTTACGACTGTGCAAATCTTTCGGTCGTTTTTTAACCCACTTCCCGTGATCCAATCGAGCTGACATTTTGCACATAGACTCGTTGTGCGTGACAATTAATGTTCGTGAAATTTTTTTTCCAAAATTTTACACTGTTTAGGGAAAACAAATTAAATATTTAATTACCAATTGCTTAATACTGGCAGACAATCATCTGACCCATAGGTGGCAGCCATCTCAAGCCAGAGGACGAGAGGACTCTAGCCGTCACGCATATAAAGGATTTATAGTGAAAAACTTTGTTTTTACGGGTTATACTTATTTCGATTTAAATCTTTCGTGACTGCAGGGATTCATCTTCTTGGTTCTTTCGGCAAAGCAGCTCTGCGAGTACTTTACCGAAAGAACCAAGAAGATACTCGCCTCCGTCATAGAAATGTGGAATTTCCACTACGGGCTCAGGGATGTCGACGGGAGACGAACACAGCCTCTGCTCATTTGAGCGAGGAAATCACGGTGACGAAATCCACTCTGTCGCCAGTCTCGTCCATCTATAATAATATAATAATTCGCCTTCTCAACCACGATGTGTCGTTATGCCCTTCTCTCACTCTCCTCTCGAAACAGTCAATGCGTCATCTCTACATGTGCGCCTGCTCTCTTTCACCCACGCCGATCCTTCTTGATGCGTCTCGAGGAAAGAAATCACGCAGAGAAGCGAAACTGCAAACAGTGGGCGCCGCGGTGGCTGTCTCCCCGACAGACCTGTTCCCCACCTGAGGACGGCTGCTTGCGTTGTGGCCGAAACGTCGTGAGAATTATTTTATTGTTTTATTTTTATTATTTTATTATTTCCCTTCTACGTGACTTTACCGAAAGAACCAAGAAGATGACCGACGGTAATTAAGCAGGTGTTTATCCTGCCACAACCATTGAGAGTACGGGTAGTAAAATGTCACTGTTCATAGTTGTTCTATCTTATTTACCGGGTAATGGTCTATTTTACCGAGTTAATTGCATCCTCAGCGTTTAGCAGTGCGGCTATTTTGCTTTGGACGCCATCATCGATCTTGGCAGTGATCGTGGTGCTCTCAGCGTCCCTGCAGCGTTCCCACTAATCTCCCCATTCGCCCCCCCCCACCCTCCCCCTCTCTGACTTATTTAACTGCCCTAACCCTGGTTTATCTCCCACTTCAGTAAAAATGTCCTTGCTGTGATGATGAATGCTTGTGTTGCAATCGAAACGCCGAAACGTCGTGAGAATTATTTTATTATGTTTTTTTTCATTCTACGTGACTTTACCGAAAGAACCAAGAACAGTCGAATTCAATGTCTAGTGCGTGTGTTATTTACTGGGGAGTAGCGTCGTGTAGCGGGTACTACGAACCCCGCGACGAGAGTTCGATTCCCGCTCACGGCCACCAACACCAGTGACGATAATTATCTGAAGCGGTCCTGGGCTTCCCCTAGGTCGACTCAGCCTCAAATGAGTACCCTGGCACGGTGGGTAAACATCGCCACGCGGGTGACAACGGGCAGGCTGCCGTGGGTCATGGACCTCATGGGTGCTTGTCGCAAACAGAACTTCAGGGCCACACGGGAGATATCCGTCATTGTTATTTGGTGAACTGCCCATACAGTACAGCATTGTCAAATGATATTGCATGTCATCTTCTTGGTTCCTTCGGTAAAGTCACGTAGAAGGGAAATAAAAAAAAACATAATAAAATAATTCTCACGACGTTTCGGCCACAACGCAAGCAGCCGTCCTCAGGTGGGGAACAGGTCTGTCGGGGAGACAGCCACCGCGGCGCCCACTGTTTGCAGTTTCGCTTCTCTGCGTGATTTCTTTCCTCGAGACGCATCAAGAAGGATCGGCGTGGGTGAAAGAGAGCAGGCGCACATGTAGAGATGACGCATTGACTGTTTCGAGAGGAGAGTGAGAGAAGGGCATAACGACACATCGTGGTTGAGAAGGCGAATTATTATATTATTATAGATGGACGAGACTGGCGACAGAGTGGATTTCGTCACCGTGATTTCCTCGCTCAAATGAGCAGAGGCTGTGTTCGTCTCCCGTCGACATCCCTGAGCCCGTAGTGGAAATTCCACATTTCTATGACGGAGGCGAGTATCTTCTTGGTTCTTTCGGTAAAGTACTCGCAGAGCTGCTTTGCCGAAAGAACCAAGAAGATGAATCCCTGCAGTCACGAAAGATTTAAATCTAAATATTGCATGTCCATAATATAATTTTCTTTTTGGGGTTACATCGCATAAATATAAATCCCACTACCACCCGACACAGCCAATTAGTAAGGTTTGTCACGTAAACAGAACATGCCAATTCGTTACTAGTACAGCGACATCGGTGTGTGTGTGTGTATATTGAATGTCCATGCAATCTGAATAGCTTGGCTCGGGGTGTCCGTGTTGTGTGCACATGCTCCCTTTCCCTTGAGAGCGATGCAAGTTTACTGACGCAAACATTTCGCCCGGCAGTACAGCGTGCGCGTGTGTGCCGTGGTACGTTGTGTGCAATTTGTGTAAGGGGTCGTCCATAAATGACGTCACGCACCTAGTGGGGAGGGGGGGGGTCAGACATTTGTGACGATGTGTGACGAGGGGGGGGGGTGAGAAATGTGACGTCACATCAAAATGCGCAACTTTAAATAAATGTAGACAACACGTTCTACTTTATTAAATAGACGTTTTAATAAATGTTTTCTCTTTTCGATTTAAAGCTTTCGTGACTGCAGGGATTCATCTTCTTGGTTCTTTCATTCAGACTCTGTCTACTTGACAGACCTGTTCTCCACCTGAAGACGGCTGCTTGCGTTGTGGCCGAAACGTCGTGAGAATTATTTTATTATGTTTTATTTGTATTATTTTATTATTTTCCTTCTCCGTGACTTTACCGAAAGAACCAAGAACATTTTTTCTCCTACAACATCAGAGTGCAGCGCCACATTAAATACGCACTACAATGACAATAGTTTAAAGCGATTTGAAGCATGTTTTATTTTCAAAATGGAAATATGGTTGGGGGGGGGCAGAGCTTTGTGATGTCATATTTGAGGGGGGGGGGGGGAGGACGGTCAAAAATCGTCCAAAATCGCGTGACGTCATTTATGGACGGCCCCTACTAGTACTGTACAATGTTGAACATGCATGGAAACCACTACTGCCGCAGCACCACGATTGTTCGCGTACGTTTAAAGGAAGCTCCGTGAAATAGTTTCGGTTAGCGTTTGGGGTAGATGCTTCAACAGACTTGCCCCGGACTTCGTGATGATCCATTTGCAAGACCACAATGGCCATTGACGCCACGAAAACATAAACTTACTGCCGAGCTTTTGCGTGGGATGAACGATGAATTTTCAATCTTCTTCGGGACCCTGTTCTACTGGATATCCGTTTCTTTAAAAAAAAAACCCCCACAAGAGTCGCTTCTTAATATTGGATACCATGCGTGTACAGTTTACCATGGGAGTCCAATTAACCATGGAAATCCAGTTCACCATGGGAGTCAAATTCACCATGGAAGTGCAGTTCACGATGGGAATATTGCTCACCATGGGATCCCAGTTCACCATCAAAGTCCAGTTTACCATGGTAGTCTAGTTCACCACGGGAGTCCAATTCACCATTGAAGTTCAATTCACCATGGGTCTCAAATTCACCATGGAAGTCAAGTTCACGATGCCAGTATAGTTTACCATGGGAGTCCAGTTCACCATCAAAGTCCAGTTTACCATGGGCAGGAGTCGGCTCATGAAGGACTGCTTGGTGACGTTATTTATCTATGAAGGACCGCCGTCCCGTATTCACCGCACAGTATATTCCGTCTCTTGAAATAGAGGGGGGTTACCGAATTTGAATGAATGGCTCTTCTTGTTATTTTGGTTGCTTACCTAACACGACTGACTCACTAAGCAAGCACAACTGACCATACACTCACCAGACACGCTCACTACCTCTGGGATACGCTGTACAGTATATAGAGACAGGCGTAATGCACACACACCCACGCACTCTCATTCTCCCACGCACACACACTCACCCACGCACGCACACACACTCACCCACGCACACACACGCACACATACTCACTCACCCACGCACCCACACTCACCCACGCACCCACACTCACTCACTCACCCACACTCACTCACCCACGCACCCACACTCACCCACGCACCCACACTCACCCACGCACCCACACTCACTCAACCACGCACACTCACCCACAAATATCAAAGACAAAGATCCCCCGTATAGCCTTAACAGATTGTAGGGGCAAGTGCTGTTAGCGAGCACCTATAAACGCCGGCACGGCACACGAGGGGGTGGGTGGTCAACACCACGCCCGGCCGCCTTTGTCTCCCTAGCAGCGATGTTTAAACATCGCACCAGGTACTCATTTGAGGCTGAGTCGACCTAGGGGAGGCCCAAGACCGGTTCAGATAATCGTCACTGATGTTTGGCTTGAGCGGGAATCGAACTCTGGTCGCCGGGTTCGTAGCGCAGCGCGCTAACCGCTACACCACCGCTCCCCACTCACGCACACTCACTCACCCACGCACTCCCACACTCACTCACCCACCCACCCACTCACCCACACTCACGCACCCACACTCACTCACCCACGCATACTCACTCACGCACACTCACTCACTCACCCACGCCCGCTCGCTCACTCACCACACTCACGCATACTCACTCACTCACCCACACTTACCCACACTCACCCACACTCACTCACCCACACTCACTCACCCACCCACTCACCCTCCACTCACCCACACAACCTTAAACATCTCTCACCGTGGCCCAATGCGCGTCTGGCCGGAGGCGCGCAAACAGGGCGGGGATTTCCGTCCGCGTCACTTCGCAGAAGACCTTCCCCGTAACCCGCTCGGCTCCGCGCGACTCCAAAAGTAAAGACAGAGAGAGAGATAAACCCCCACGCCGGTTGTTTGGTTGTTTTTGTGTCGTTGCTGCTCGTTTCTTCATCGGTTCCCACACGAACACCACCGCCAGCCCGACAACGACAACCCGGACCCATGCGCGCCCTCCGTCCGCCGCTCGTGGCTTCACGAGCATCTGCCGGAGCTCGAGAGGGTGAGTGGAATTAAAGGGCACGACACGCACGCACGCACGTGCTCATCGTCGGCTCGAACAACACGAAACAAAAACACGCGCTCTTGCGCGCGCGCGCGCGTGTTGCCCCGCAGTCCGTTACAACAACCGGTTCACACGAGTCGGGAAACCGGTAACCGTTTCGGGTGGCATTTCAGGGACGAGAGCGCACAAGCGGCACGGCGGTTGTGCGAATTTGATTTGGGGGCGTTTCGTTTTTGTGAATTGTGCGCCATCAAATATGTTGAAGACGGATAGTGTCGATTGACATTATTCCACGCGGTTGAGTTAAGTTATTCTGCACAGATGTGTTGCGTTAAATTGTCTCACACGGATGTGTTGTTGATTGAAAGTATATCACGAGCTGCGCGTCGAGCGAAATTATCTCATACAGCTATGCGGAGTTTTTCTAGCTCATATAGGTGTGTAGAGTTAAACTATCTCATACAGACGTGTGATTGCAAACACTATACAATATCTGTAGACTACGATCCACATATATATTGTTGTACAGTATTGAGAAGCGGTGGTTACGAGTAACGCAAGCTAAGTGGAACTATAAAGTGAAAACCACATCAGTTGGCGATGGGAGTTTTTGCTGTAGTTGTACATTATTTACATTTAAGTTGTAAAAGTTTTTTTCCATCAGCAAAAAAAAATCCCTTTTAGAATTAGTACGCTCTTACAATCACGCAATTGTGATTCACGGCTCTTTAATTCAATCTACCGCTGACCGCTCTTTGCGCGGTGAAGGCCCATTACCCAAAACGTCGGCTAACATTTATTCTAGGCAGTGTCGTATCGACGCTTGCTTTGAGTTTCGTTTTTGCTGTACCTGTTGGGATAAATGCCTGTTACTGACTGTACAGATTGGTCCAAATGTCTTGTGACCCCCCCCCCCCCCCAATTAACCAATTAATAATTGATGCCCAACTTTTTTATTTTTACATATTCATTTCTGTTTTAAATAAATAAATGCCGTTTTTTGAGAATTAAATGTGGGGGGAAGGGAGGGGGTCACAAGACATCTGTACCACCCTGTACATGCCTTTGTTGGGTAGGGTTTGTTTGAGCCATACTTCACCACGTTGGTCACACAGAGGGATGGTGAAGAGATGGATAAGGGGGAGGCCCGATTGGGCACCGGCCCACTTCGCACTCCTATCGTGTTTTTTTATTGTTTGTTTGTAACTTTCCGTGAGAAAAGAGCTTCATAGCTCATCGGATTCCTCCAATATCAATAAGTGTTCTGATTCCGGTACATCACTTCGCCACTGACGTTAGCCGTGGCCCACGGCGAACAGAACCGGCGCCTCGAGTTTCGATTTTGAACGGAGGAGACAGCCGATGAGTTAAATTTCGATTTAAAGCTTTCGTGACTGCAGGGATTCATCTTCTTGGTTCTTTCGGTAAAGTCACGTAGAAGGGAAATTAATTTTTTTAAATTATGTTTTATTTTTATTATTTTATTATTTCCCTTCTACGTGACTTTACCGAAAGAACCAAGAAGATGAAGCCGATGAGTTGTTTTGTTGTATGGATCCCACCATTTCGGTGGCTGTGGAAATCGAACCGATGACCATCAGTAACTCCACAGTTCTCCCTCCGTGCACATTGTCACGGAGACGATTCACGTTCAAGCCACGAGAACAACGCGAACCACAGCGGCAATTGCGCCGTACACTCAAGACACACGCTCTAATAACTCTTACACAGGTAGTACACTCTAATACTCATACACACAGACACACGCTCTAACAACTCTTGCACAGGTAGTACACTCTAATACTCATACACACAGACACACGCACTAACAACTATTACACAGGTACACTCTAATACCCATACACACAGACACACGCTCTAACTCTTACACAGGTAGTACACTCTAATACTCATACACACAGACACACGCTCTCACAACGTTTACACAGTACACTCTAATACTCATACACACAGACACACGCTCTCACAACTCTTACACAGTTAGTACACTCTAATACTCATACACACAGACACACGCTCTAACAAGTCTTACACAGTTAGTACACTCTAATACTCATACACACAGACACACGCTCTAACAAGTCTTACACAGGTACACTCTAATACTCATACACACAGACACACGCTCTAACAACTCTTACACAGATACACTCTAATACTCATACACACAGACACACGCTCTAACAACTCTTACACAGTTAGTACACTCTAATACTCATACACACAGACACACGCTCTTACAACTCTTACACAGTTAGTACACTCTAATACTCATACACACAGACACACGCTCTAACAAGTCTTACACAGTTAGTACACTCTAATACTCATACACACAGAACACACGCGCACACTTGTTCCACTCATACTTCGAGTGCTCGTACAAAGACAAAGATCCCCCGTGTATCCTGTACCAGGCTGTTGGGGCAAGTGTTCTTTGCGAGCACCTGTGAAGGCCGGCTACGGCGCACGTGGGAGGGGGTGGCCAGCACCACGCCCGGCCACCTCATGTCAGAGGTCGAAAACGGGTTTTGATTTCTTACCCGTACCCGTACCCGACCGCACCAGGGTCGAAAACGGGTACCCGTACCCTACCCGATACCCGGCTACCCGTACCCGGCCGGGTATCGGGTAGGGTATCGGGTACCCGATTGCGACCTCTGGGATGAAGCCATGTTGCAGGCGCGGGTGGGTTCATTCTAGGATCTTGAATTGTGAGAAGAGACAAGACGTTGGGAAATGAGTGACAAACAGTTACTCGCCAGTGACTCACGGTCTACCCGTACCCGGCCGCACCAGAGTCGCAAACGGGTACCCGTATTCGGGTAGCCGAGTATCGGATAGGGTACGGGTATCGGGTATCCGGTTGCGACCTCTGCCTCGTGTGTGGTGCTGGCCGCGTTAGAGGCAGCAGACAGGCATCGCACTGGGGAAGAGAGAGAGACACACACCCGAGATGTTTCCGAGAAACCAGTGAGTTGCTTCTGCGCTGCTGTCATTAAGGGGAATTTCCCAGCCTTTCGTTGCGTGTTCCAGTAAAGCCCTATTCAAGCCACCGCCCCCCCAGGCCACCCAACACCACAAATCATACGAACACGCACGCCATAGTATTACTCATGTAGTACTGGGCTCATACAAATATCCCCCCTATAGCCTTAACAATCTGTTGTGGGCAGCTATGAAGGCCAGAAGCACTGTCTCCCCGGTGGCGACGTTTAAACACGGCACCGGGTGCTCGTTTTGAGGCCGAGTCGACCTAGGGGAAGCCCAGGACCAGGTGTTTGGTGTCGAACTCGAGTGGCCGGGTTCGTAGCGCACACAAAGCCACATACAGTCACTCTCTAGCACTCAGTCACACACACACAGAACTCGTATTAAGTACTCAGACACACGCTCTAACAACTCTTACACAGTTAGTACACTCTAATACTCATACACACAGACAAACGCTCTAACAAGTCTTACACAGTTAGTACACTCTAATACTCATACACACAGACAAACGCTCTCACAACTCTTACACAGTTAGTACACTCTAATACTCATACACACAGACACACGCTCTCACAACTTTTACACAGTACACTCTAATACTCATACACACAGACAAACGCTCTAACAAGTCTTACACAGTTAGTACACTCTAATACTCATACACACAGACACACGCTCTCACGACTCTTACACATGTCCACTCTAATACTCATACACACAGACACGCTCTCACAACTCTTACACAGTTAGTACACTCTAATACTCATACACACAGACACACGCTCTAACAAGTCTTACACATGTCCACTCTAATACTCATACACATAGACACGCTCTCACAACTCTTACACAGTTAGTACACTCTAATACTCATACACACAGACACACGCTCTAACAAGTCTTACACATGTCCACTCTAATACTCATACAAACAGACACACGCTCTAACAACTCTTACACAGTTAGTACACTCTAATACTCATACACACAGACACACGCTCTAACAAGTCTTACACAGTTAGTACACTCTAATACTCATACACACAGACACACGCTCTAACCTGTACACGCACACTCGAGTGCTCATTCATACAAACAAACATTCACACACACAAACCACTCGAACTTAGCACGCAGTCTTTCTTCGTACGGCAGCAGGGACAAGCAAAACATGTTTGCAACGTTTCACACTTGAGTTGTTAAGCTTCTAAAACTCGCACAGAGCTACAGTCAATGACTCACGCACCACACACTTACTCATTCACACTCAACGTTTTTCCGATTACCGGGTAAATTATTTTTTTAAAGCTCATCTTCCATGTCGATATAAAAAAAAATTCTAAATGATCGTCTATAGAACGTCTTCTTTCGCCATTTCAACTCAACGCGATTGTGTATTCGTTCACGCCGGGGGTGAAAAAAAAATCCCTTACTGGCCAGAGGACAGTTTCGGTTGCCGTATGTGTTGAGAGCGATTTCCTGAAACAACACGTTCATCTTAGGACCCTTCCCTGAGCCCGGCCCTGTTGTATACCGGTACAGGTTAAACAAGGTCGTGGGAAGACCCACATTTAGTCGAACAGACTATGCAATGTCACGGACTTTATCATCGCATTCTATTCGTACGCCAATGTTGAGGGCTGCCAGCCACAAGAGCGCTTGGGGAGAAATGTATCGTGCAGTTATTCTGCAACTTGAAACACTACCTATGAGATCTTCACTCAAAACTGCTCTAGAGGAGTTGTACACCCCTAGCTGCCACTGCAATTTAGTGGCCTAAAATACAATGTTTCGCTCCGGATGATCGCTGCAAAGTATGATCTGTGTTTTGATTTAGTGTGCTGATCTTAAAGGTGCATTGAAAAATGTTGATACTCCGATTGATGCTCCTGCTGTTGTGGAGTGACTCATGCAGCCAGCTATGGCTGCAGAGTTTGGTGGTACATGTTGTTTACGTCGTTTATTGTAAAAATTCGGTCACAGTTCCTATGATCACTGTTTCATTGCTTTTATGGCTTTATTTTGGTGATTTTTTTATACGTTTTTTTGGTTTGGCCATGTTTGTTGTAGTACAGAGTTAGACTGATGGCCTTAATTTAAGTTGTCTTGTGGTTGTTGTTGTTTGACTTGCATCCCACTGGGATTTTTGCACACAGCGTTAGTGTACGGAGCTTTTTCTGCAATATTTTGCTGTCTTTTCTTGGATTTTCTGTTTGCACTCAGTCACATATTCACTTTAAGATGTTTTTTGTTCATGTTTTTTGTTTGTTGCGGTTACACCCGATTCAAGAGCCGAATGGCTCACAGGGCTACACCTAGTACATGAACTTGAACTATTCCATTGCTCCGTTGAAGGGGCCCATGGCCACATCGGCCCACGATATGGTCCATTAGTTTGGGTTGCACGGCCACACTCGGACTACGGGCAGATAACCCCGTAGGTGTCCCCGACTGCACGTTTCTTAGCTGTCATCAACACCCAATGCGGGTGGAGCCGTGTTCTTGTACAGGGAAATTGAGTTTGCAGGTCGACACGGCGAACAGCCGTTTTAATACGGGCACAGAGTTTTGTGATTGTTTGTCAATATGTTTTGTGTTTTTCCCTTGTGATGGGACTTCGTAGCGCGAACGTTGAGATTCGTAAGGGACACGGGGTCATCAATAAGGCCTGAATTGGGTCTGTAATAAGTTAGTGCACTGACAAGGGGTTGATAGGTGTGTTAAAGTCTTCCATAGACTCCAACGTTAAATTATCTCATAGACTCCAATGTTCAAGTCTCTCAGATTCCAATGTTAAAATCTCCCATATACTCCAATCTTAAAGTCTCCCATAGACTCCAATTTTTTATTCTCCCATAGACTCCAATCTTAAAGTCTCCCGTAGACTCCAATTTTTTATTCTCCCATAGACTCCAATCTTAAATTCTCCCGTAGATTCCAATTTTGTATTCTCCCATAGACTCCAATCTTAAAGTCTCTCATAGACTCCAATGTTGAGGTTTATAAGGGGCACGGGGTGACCAATAAGCTCTGAATTGGTCTATAATAAGGTAGGGCACTGACAAGGGGTTGACAGGGATGCATCCTGTAGGTACGTTACATCATTTACAGGTAAAAGGTACGGACTGCAAATCCCGGAGTTTAGCCATAGAGAGCATGGGTTGACAACCTCTCAAAGAAGAAGAATAAGAAGAGACATTTTTCATCTGTTTTTGTCTTTGACCAAAATAATTTGAGAACCGCATCACACGCACAACTTATTGTCCACAAACAGCAGCAGCAACAGATATACAGCAAGACAACAACAACAACACAGAGTCTGACTTAATAAACAAAATAGGTGATGGAATAAACCGCGTCTGTTTAGTGTATAATCCTCCATTGATTAATCTTTAACAATGCAGTTTGTACATTTCGTTTTCACCAAGGCATTCCATAGTGATCCCATTCCCTGCCATATTTAATCAATTATCTTTACACTAATTCTAGATTTGAAGCTTTCGTGACTGCAAGGATTCATACTCTTAGTATCTTTACACTAAATTAAGTTTAAGATAAGAGTAAAAAAAAAACACAACGGCTGACGTTCATAAAAGTTGAAGGCGGTATAGTACTATAGTAATAAGCAAAGTGCAGAATATCTTAACCGGAATTGATATCTTGAAAGCATTTAGCGCGGGGCCCTTGAAAGTGCGGGGCCCGTAGCTATGTAGTATATGTAGTAGTAGTAGCTACATCATATGTAGTAGCTACTACATATGTAGTAGCTACTACACATGATGTAGCTACTTTTGCTCTCTATGTGCCTATGTGTGTTCTCTCTCTATGTATCTCTGTGATATCTGTCTCCTTAAATGTCTGTCTATAGTTTTCTGGTTAGATTTGTGTTGCTATTTCATTTGTACCTGATGATGATTGCTTGTGTTGCAATCGAAACGTCGTATGCTATTATTTAATTTATTATTTTATCTTCATACGTGACTTTACCGAAAGAACCAAAGAGTAATTCCTGCAGTAACGAAAGCTCCAAATTAAGATAGCTACTACATATGTAGTAGTAGCTACTATGTGTAGTAGTAGTAGCTACTACTACATATGTAGTAGTAGCTACTATGTGTAGTAGTAGTAGCTACTACTACATATGTAGTAGTAGCTACTACTACATATGTAGTAGTAGCTACTACATATGTAGTAGTAGTAGCTACTACTACTACATATGTAGTAGCTGCTACTACACATGCGGCTACTTTTGCTACGAGGAGAATCCGGCACTGCAAGAGCCGCAATGCAACGTGGTAACGAGACGGTCGTGGACTTCGATAAGTAGCGTCACGAAGCGGTCCTTTAAAGAGCCACCGCGTGCGCCTCTCCGGAGCCGCAGGTTGTCAACCGCTGGACGATGAGCTGCATCTGATGAGTGGCATGATCAGGACCAGATTATGTTTGATACGGGGGAGGGAGGAGGGCACGGGGCTGTTTACATCTTTGAGAGGGGCTCCTCTTTGCATGTTCATTTCCTTCCCTTCGGGGCCGTCCATAAACGACGTCACGCGCCTGGGGGGGGGAGGTCAGACATTGGCATTCAGCTCCCGAACACATTTGCCATCGTGCGTACGAATTGAATGCGACGGTAAAGTCCGTGACATTGCATAGTAGCTTGACTAAATGTGTTTTTTTCAAATTTACCCTTTTTCGTGATGTCATCACAACATTTATTTTTTATTTGAAGCGTTTGTGACTGCAGGAAATCATACTCTATTTTTTTTTTACCATTTTCGCCTTTAATCGGTTTAACAACCTCCGCAAAACACGTGTCAGCAATGGTGCTGACACGAGCAAGGGCAGCGTTTGACGAATTAATTCGTAGATTTGTCAATGAAATGCTTTTAAAAGAGATTGTGATCAGAGAAATGAGCATGCACAGTGTGGGTTGATACATTACGCACATGAATGGTCTCATGGAAATGAGTCAAGCTGTATATACATTTGCAATCTACTCCTAATCTTCTCAGTTTTTTTTGGCATGGGTATAAGAGGCCACACATATCAGGGAATATTTTAACATGCGTAAGAGCAACATGTGACGTAACTTCACGTGACTGATTTGATAATGTTGAAGTTCTGTGCAAAACTAGCTACTACTGGCCAAGACTAATTAGAGAATCTATCGAAATTTAAGGAAATAACAATTATTTGAACAGTTCGGATAGCTACCGATTTAGTGCTGTGTGGAAGCGAATAATCAAATAATACATTGTTTAAATGCATGCTTATACAGGCCACTATACTTCATTAGGAACTACCGTTGGTAGGGCTATTTTAATAAACACAATAGACAGGAAGGACAAGTTCAAAGGGCTCGCATAATGCACATGCATCATGTACGTTGCCTCAGTAATCCGCCCCCCCATCCCCGCTTACCGTTCCTTTATTCACAGGTTTTTGAGAAAGTGCCCTTGCCGGGTGGCCGTAATGAGGGGAGCAGGTGACCTCCTCCTCCTCTTCCTCCTCGTCGTGGTTCTGGAGTCCCAAGTGACCCTGCATGCCCTGTCCACGTCGGCAACGGGTAAGTCCACCGACTTGACCACCTTTACTCGGAGGACATTCAAATTGGTCGCTTTGCCTTTGAACGACACCACTCTATATTTAAAGCTTTCGCGACTGCAGGGATTCATCTTCTTGGTTCTTTCGGTAAAGTCACGTAGATAGGTTCAAATGAGTAAAAATGTATTTGAAGAATTTTAATGGTTCTTTCGGTAAAGTCACGTAGAAGGGAAATACAAAATTCTAAAAAATACAACTATTAAATTCTCACGACGTTTCGATTGCAACACACGCAATCATCAGGTGTGAAAACCACAGCAAGAAAATTTGAAGATGTTTTGGCATAGTTTTTTTGTTTATTTTATTTTTATTAATTTGAACCTATCTATGTGACTTTACCGAAAGACCCAAATAATGTTCGTTTTTATCGTAACAGCAATAAATATGTCAAAAAAGGTGGCAATTACAATTTTCTTACTTTTGTCATAATACAATTTATTTATTTTCTACTAGGCCTTTGTCAAGCTACTGCCGTTTGCAGGCCTCTTCCACACCCAGTTGGTAATGTTGGTTGTTTGGTTGAGGGGCGAGACCCAGGATCGGTTCACATATCATTCGCTACTGATGTTGTCTCTGCCCAGAAATCAAACTCAGGTCACCTTGGCTCTATGGTGCAGTCTGCTAAGCACCACCACCCCCACCCCCCTCCTCCTAGAAATATATTACGTGCAAATGTTCGACTGCATATTCCGATTCCTGCTACAGTTTTAACGTAACATTTTGCACTTCGATCTCCCAGTCATGAGGCACGCGTATGCTCTTTTGGCGGAACGGTGGTGCAGTGGTTAGCGCGCAGCGCTACGAAGCCACACACCTGAGTTAGATTCACGGCCACGGCTAACACGGGTGGACGAATGATATCAAAACCGGTGCCGGGTCTTTCCTTACCTCGGTTGATTCAGTCCTCAATGTAGTATCTGGTGCAGTGTGTATAAAACAAAAGCGCCGGGGGAGACGGTGCAGCTGGCGGCGTGGTTTGTCGGCCACGCCACCGCCCTGGTGTTGTGCTGCTCGTAAACAGAACGAGCCTCAAACCAGCCCGTTGACGGCTACGTGGGGAGCGAGATAGACGTGGGAATCTGTCTCGTGCGCCGTTGTCGTTGTGTGACCTGCAGGCCACGATGGCGTGCACGCAACGCGCGTGTCGTGTTCGTCTGAAAATGTCAACTTGACCTGGGATGCCCGGTGCACGTGGACACCGGGCCGTGACGCCAAAGCATTGAACGTCACGTACAGAGTCTCCTTTTTAGACCATCGAAGGTAAAAAGGAAGTGCATTTCATTATAATGTGCGCCCCCTGCATTCATGAATTTCACCATTTGAAATTGTGGTGATCTTTCGATTTAAAGCTTTCGTGACTGCAGGGATTCATCTTCTTGGTTCTTTCGGTAAATTCACGGAGAAGGGAAGTAATAAAATAATAAAATAAAACATAATAAAACAATTCTCACGACGTTTCGGCCACAACGCAAGCAGCCGTCCTCAGGTGAAGACCAGGTCTGCCGGGGGAGACAGCATCTGAATGACAGACCTGGTCTTCACCTGAGGACGGCTGCTTGCGTTGTGGCCGAAACGTCGTGAGAATTGTTTTATGATGTTTTATTTTTATTATTTTATTACTCCCCTTCTACGTGACTTTACCGAAAGAACCAAGAAATTGTGGTGATCGTGTCAGCATTTTGCTCCCACTGGTGTTCCAATCTGTTACGTGGAAATCAACGTGAAATTGGCAATCTGCTGACCTCTCTTTGACTACGTTGAAATGCTGACTTCGACCTTTTCCCCAAAACCTTGCACATCATGAGCTTTCAATTGACTCCTCATCCATTGAAATCGGTAGAACAGACTAAGAGGAGTTATCTCGATAAAGATGCACGCCTGAGATCGATACATAACCAATAGATGCAGATTATCCGCATGCGGTTTATCCGATTCGCGGACAAAACCGCACACCTGACATTTTGACATAAATTCATAACTCATGGATTTACACTTCAGCTCAAATTCATAATCTAAAAACAGCTATACATTGTTTTTCTTGGAAATGTTTATTGCAAGTCGCGTGCTTAAACAGAACAAATCTATGCTCTGGTAAATCCGAAATCCACGTGATTGCTCTACAGTACAGTAGTTGCATATCTCTACAACGGTGGGCGGAGTTTGATTGATGTTGATTGGCGTGGCTCTGCTGTCATCCACTTAGTGGATCGAGTCTTCTGGGCGGGCCCAGGAAAGTGTCATCACTGAGCGCGCGCATCGATTGGTCGACCGTTAGTATTTGTTCATTAACAAACTCAAATTTCTCAACGTAGTGGTTTTTGGCATAGAGATCCGCATAAAATGGATTTTTTTTATTATCCACGATTTTGAATTATCCTTGGCCATTCCTCCCTGCCATCATAACGGATAATCGAGAATCTACTGTACATTAAATTAGAGTGTCATTTCCATACTGGAATATCGCAGTTTTACAGTCATACGTGAATACGACGTTATTGAGGAAGTATGCTCGCACGTTCTCGTTTATTCCGCTCACCCCTTCCGTCCTATAAGGAAAGCGATCCTGTCATGCAAGTGCGAAGATGATGCGTCGTCTGTGGCCGGCGGCAGTAAGGGCTGCTGGGACCACTGCCAAATCAACAACTATATCGGAAGTTCTAGCTCAATAGAATTCGTGAGCGTGGCGCCTTGGAGCCATGGAGTGAGCGAGACGCAGCTGGACGGTGTCAGTGATCACCCCTTCAATCTGTACAGATACAGTGGGTACCCTGCACTCATTTCGTAGCTGATATACGCATCTGTGTACGTATGTTGAACTTCTTTCGCGCCGTACGTAGCCCACCGTGCTAATCGGAAGTGCGCAGGGGGAAGAAGAACTAATCGCGAAAAAACAGTTTTAAATAAATGAGTTTTAAATCGAGATTTAAAAGTGCATAGCTCCAGTGGCTTCCTAATACGTGAAGGAAGAGCGTTCCAGACGGCCGCAGAAGCGCACCCGAAAACGCGCGATGCAGTAACCGGTTTTGTTCGATGGCAGCATAAAAGCCGCTACTGCTGCGAGGATGACCGGATGATCAGTCATCGTATCTGCCTGAAATTTACAATTCTTATGCGTTTGGCGTGTGTTGTCTGGGCTAATTCCTCAATAGCAACACAACTCTATGCCACTCTATGCTAAAGTTAAATTTAGATTTAAAGGTTTCGTGACTGCAGGGATTCGTCTTCTTGGTTCTTTCGGTAAAGTCACGTAGAATGGAAATAATAAAATAATAAAAATAAAACATAATAAAATAATTCTCACGACGTTTCGGCCACAACGCAAGCGGCCGTCATCAGGTGAAGAACAGGTCTGTCGAGAAGACAGAGTCTGAATGAAACACCCCAGGTTTGGAGCATCTATTTAAGCTGGGTTGGAGGGAGAAGAGAGCCTAGACAAAATAATTTGCATATCAAGAGGAATTTAGCATATTTATGGGAAATGTAGATATGCGATTAGTACAACTGCTAAAGTTGTTTGCATCTTTGATCGTCTTAACACGAGTCATAGTCCCTCTCCCCCCACCTGTAATGTCCGGACGCATAGAGAAAGTTCGAACATGTTTTCAGATTTATTTGAAAAGCTTAATAAAGTTTGTCGAACGTTTGGCGAACGATGTTACGTGTGACAGGCTGCGTGTGCATGTCGAGATTTTAATGCGGGAATATTCAATTTCATTGCAGTCATTCCGAGCTCCCCGACTGGATTACGAGTGGAAGAGACCGACAACATGATGTACAGAGTGTCATGGAATGAAAAACATGGGTCTCACGTCGTTCATAATTATGAGGTCAGCTACCAAAAGGCTCCAGACGGAAAGTGGAAGGTAAACAACTACCAGTACTCTTTGGTCTTTTCGGTAAAGTCACGTAGGTGAAAAATAAAAAAAATAGAAATAAATAAAAAATAGAAATAAAAAAATAACGACGTTTCGATTGCAACACAAGCATTCATCATCACAGCAAGGACGTGTTTACTGAAGTGGGAGATAAACCAGGGTTAGGGCAGTTAAATAAGTCAGAGAGGGTGGGGGGCGGGGGGGCGAATGGGGAGAGGAGTGGGAACGCTGCAGGGACGCTGAGAGCACCACGATCACTGCCAAGATCGATGATGGCGTCAAAAGCAAAATAGCCGCACTGCTAAACGCCGAGGATGCAATTAACTCGGTAAAATAGACTATTACCCGGTATATAAGATGAAACAACTATGAACAGTGAAATTGTACTACCAGTACTCTCAATGGTTGTGGCACGATAAACACCTGCTTAATTACCGTCGGTCATCTTCTTGGTTCTTTCGGTCAAGTCACGTAGAAGGGAAATAATAAAATAATGAAAATAAAACATATAAAAATCATTCTCACGACGTTTCGGCCACAACGCAAGCAGCCGTCCTCAGGTGAAGACGCTGTCTCCCCGACAGACCTGGTCTTCACCTGAGGACGGCTGCTTGCGTTGTGGCCGAAACGTCGTGAGAATTATTTTATTATGTTTTATTTTTATTATTTTATTATTTCCCTTCTACGTGACTTTACCGGAAGAACCAAGAAGATGAATCCCTGCAGTCACGAAAGCTTTAAATCGAAATTTACCGTCGGTTACTCAACAATCGATCGGTGGCTTGCTTCTGGTTGGGTGTAAAGTGTGGGCACTCGCACCCCGCGTAATAATGTCCGGTCAACGTAGAAGAGTAGGCCAAACACCCCGCGAGAGAAAGGGATTTTTTAGTTTGTTTGTCTTAGAGCTCCCTGCAGTGGGACAACCCTTGCACCCAGCAGTGCTGCGAGCGAGCGCTTGCAGGGCTGCGCCTTGTGACATTAAACCCTTTGACCCGATTTTGTTTTCATCCGCGGTGTCTCGGCACCGCGGATGTCGCCGTGGGTCACGCGGGACGACGAACGCGGAGACGAATTGAAATCCGTGCAGTCTGAAAGTTTGTTTCGGATTTCTTTGGATTGTTAGCGACATCGATTCCAAGTCGCCCGCGTACGTGATAGGAACAACTGACGATGAACATCGCCCCCCTCCACCCACACCCTCGTCGTACAGGCAGGATAATGTCCACTTGCCAGGGTCGGCGCTGCATATCTCTTGTGCAGGTGTAATAAAAGGACTCAGACACTTCTTGCTGACTCCGTGTCCTTTATTTGGGGTTCGCGTTCTCCTTCCCACACGGCACTCCTCCTGAGACTCTCTCCCTGGCAGCCCCACATCTGCCTTCGCTCCCGTAGCCTTCCACGCTCCTGCAGCTCCGCTGCAGGCTCTTGGTACAGCCCTCTGGCTGCTCCCCCAGCAGCTCCATCTCTGCTCCCTGTTCCTCCGTGCGTGGCTATCTCGCCACCTCCCAATGTCAGCCCTTCGTGGCCTCTATGGCTATCTCGCCATTTCCTACCTCAATCCTCCACTCTCTCTTCCACCCCGCTGGCTGGCGCCGTCATGAGCCCCTCAGCCACCAGGCTGAGGCACGGCGACCACCCAACGTGTTCACCACCCTTCACTCCCCCGACTGACCCAGATAGCTTCCTGTCTCCCCGCTATAACTTCTCCCCCACGTCACCCTGACTCCTCCCTCTCGGATCGTCATATCCGCCCCGCCCATTTACGCCCGCATTACACAGGGATAAGCTGCCATTCGGCGAGTTCCACCCCTAGGGCATACCCCCCCCCCCCAGGGATCCCCTAGCGTTGGTGTACAGTGTTTTTTTTCTGCAATATTTTGCTGTCTTTTCTTGGATTTTCTGTTTGCACTTAGTCACATATTCACTTTAAGATGTTTTTTGTTCATGTTTTTTGTTTGTTGCGGTTGCACCCGATTCAAGAGCCGAATGGCTCACAGGGCTATACCTAATAAATGAACTTGAACTTGAAGTCATGCCCCTATGGTCCTCATCCTCCTAGGAGGGGGGAGGGGGGTCCCCTAGGCGAGATTAATTGTGGCCGTTTTTGCGTCCGGGATCTTTCACAGGGTTGTCGAGAGCGGGGCTCAGGATTGTGCGGGGAGTTGTGTTACGTTACGGGCGCGGTAGAAATGCGGGTCATGCCTACCGTCTATTCATTCAAACGTTATTGCCGCGTCCGTGACTGTTGAATGCAGACGATGCGTGAGACCGACATGGACTACCTGATGTTTAATAATAAACATCTCGGGAGCGGCGGCGACTTCAACTTGCGAGTCCGAGCAGGAATAAGGAACACAACGTTGTACACTGGGCATTGGGGCCCATGGAGTGCAGTGGTCCCGTATCAAGGTGATCTCTTTTTAAATATTTTATATTAAGTTCGCTTGCTTGCTTGCTTACGACCGTGCAAATCTTTCGGTCGTTTTTTAACCCACTTCCCGTGATCCAATCGAGCTGACATTTTCCACACAGACTCGTTGTGCGTGACAATTACACTTGTTAGGACAAAAATATTATATTTAATTACCAATTGCTTAATAGTGCAATGCAATCATCTGACCCATAGGTGGCAGCCATCTCAAGCCAGAGGACAAGAGGACTCTAGCCGCCCCGCATATAAAGGATTTATAGTGAAAAACTTTGTTTTTACGGATTATACTTGTTAATGATCTATATTAAAAACCCATTTCTTTAGAAATAGGTTTTTTGTGTTTAGTTTGTTGTCCTTTCCCCCACTCCACACGCCTCCGATTAGCGCGGTTGGCTACATTTAACGTGAAATATACACTCCCCCCCCGCCTTCACTGAAATATTCCCTTTCAAATGCGTGACGATGAGACGATGCGATGTCAAAGTGTCCTGAGATATCCCTGCATATCGGAAAGCGTTCTATTCAAAACAAAGTGTCATCAATCCGCACTAACCATCGTGGTGAAGTGTGGGCACAGTGCCACCACGATGAGGCCCTCATACAGCAGTGGATTGATAATGGACTGAAAAATGTGTCATTATCGTTAAGTATACTGTGTTATCATAGATGTGGAGGAGTAAACATGGCTTAGTGTGATATTTTGGTATGTAAATTGCAGTGCCACCTTGCCTTGAGGGTCATTGAGAATTTTGGCAAGTTATTATAGACATCGTCACGAACACATTTTTACGAATAATCTGCATAGTAAGCGGCTAATATTATCATGATCACGTTCTGACCCCTTGCCCCTACTGGACATCTGTGAAAAAGAGCTTTATAGCTAATCGGATTCCTCCTGTATAAACACATTCCTGCGGAGGGAGCTGGTAGGAACGTTGGGTTGCTCGGTCAATGGCCAGGGTCAACGGCGGCGTGGTGTATTCCGCAAATATGCCCGACTGTGAGGGCGGGCACAAGCCAGCGTGAGTAGGTTAAACGTTGAGTTTTATAAGGGCACCACGGGGTGACCAGCCCCTCCCCACCCAGCCTCTCCCCACCCTCCCCACCCAGCCTCTCTCCACCCTCCCCACCCAGCCCCTCCCCACCCTCCCCACCCAGCCCCTCCCCACCCTCCCCTCCCCACCCAGCCCCTCCCTCCCCACCCAGCCCCTCCCTGCACGACGGACAGATAGACACAATAATCCCCTGTGGGCTGGTGGAACCAGTGGGTTCCTACCAGTAATATATATTATGATTCGCATTACCATTTAATGGTGACATCACCGTCCACCTTTGCACACTTTGTGCCAAGCATTATTTATGAATGGCATTTTTGTTCGTATGCTCACTGTTATCCTTATTACACATTTACACGCATTCGGGTAAAAACCACTTCACAACATCGCCTCTCTCCCCCGCCGTGAAACAACCGCAGACGACACCCGCCTGTGAAGCACGGCGCCTCACTCGACACTTCTTCTTCTTTAGTGCTGCCTAACGGCGTGTGCCACTTCACGATGATATTGGTCCCGGTCTAGCACGGCGTGTAGAGTTTGTGCTGCTGTTGTTAATTGCAGCCATGTTTTGATGTTACTGAGCCATGTCGTTTTTGGCCGTCCTGGTCGTTTTTTCCCTTCGATTTTTCCTTCCAGGATTTGCTTTAATAGCTGGTATTTGTGGTCGTCTCGGGCAATGTGGCCTAGGTAGTAACACTTCCTGCTAATGATGGTCTTCAGCAGTTGCCTGTCATTGCCCATATCTTGCAGAAATCGACACTGATGGCGCGATAACCAGGGCCGGATGAAGCTAGTGCGGGGCCTGTAGCATATGTTATAAAGGGGCCCTAAATAAGAAAAAAAAAACATAAATATTAAAACACACATTTTTTTACTTGCATAGTAAAGTAATTGTATTTTTTCATTTGCTCTACAGCCAGGTAATATGACAAATCGCTAACCTTAAACACTCAGTCATTCATAAAAGTTGAAGGCAGTATAGTACTATAGTAATAGAGCAAGCGCTGAATCACTGAACCGGAATTGATAGCTTGAAAGCATTTAGCGTGGGTCCCTTGAAAGTGCGGGACCTCGTAGCATATGTACCAACTTTTGCGACGAGGATAATCCGGCACTGGCGATAACCAACGTTCACTCTTTTCGTCTTTTGATTTGTTTGTGGTGTGTGCTCAGTCACGGTTCCTAAAGAAGGCTCGCTGATCGCTTTGGTGATTCCCATCTTCGCCTGCCTCATCGTCTGTGGAGTATTGTCGGTGATGTGTCTCGTTTATCGCAAGAGGTAAGAAGAAGCAGTGGATTTTATCCAAAACTACTGGCGCAGATGCCAAGACTTCCGATTTTTTTGCAAAAAACCCTCGTACCGATTTTCAAATAGAAAATTGTGTCGAGGCATTTCTTTCCCCCAAAGGTTTTATTTCATGAAGCTGTACGATTGCCCTCAATAATAATTAACCTACTGCGTAAACAGGTAGGCTTGGCAAGTGCGCCACAGTGCAGTGGTGCTGTGTCTGACTGAGACTGTTTAATATGAGCCCATAACATTTCATCATGTCCATTTGAATGTGGCTGATGATGACTCTTCAACAAAGTCAGCAAATGCCCTCACGAACAACTTTGCTATGAACAGCACACCCATATAGCTAAATCAGCTCAAGCCTCCCGTAGATCACGTGACGTCTACGTGGCCACCCCCACTCTAAACCCCTCTCCCGCCCACTATCAAAATGAACGCTGTTCCGTACAGCAGCAGCAGAAGTGTAGTAGGTTCAATGAGACTTGGACGACGTAGTCAGAGGCACACTTATTTATTAACCATTTCACTCCATACAGGCCAAGGTATACAACACTCGAAGGGGTATCGGCCCCTTCACCCGTCTAACAGGGAGATCCCACGATCTCTATCCCGGCTAACCTACTCCCAGGTCCTCCACTACAGAGCTAGGGGAGGCTAGCTGATCCAGCTCTGGCCAAGCTGGGATCACGGCACCCTGAGTCACCAGACCGGCTCTTACAAGAACATCGGTTCTGGGCTCTCGGGGCCACGCCACTGGCTTGCCCTGGTCGTCCTTAGAAGGACGGCGATCCAGGGGAGTCCCAGGGCCTATCTAGCCGGTCTTCCTTCTTCACTGGCTTAAGCTAAACACTGAACCCCGAGCCCACCGGTTCACCGCCTTATATAGCAACTCCCCCCCCGAGGGGTGGGGCCGTGGGGGATCACAGCGCCGTTTCAGCGCCCCAGGGCTAAACGATGCGAACGTGGATGTAAGCTTCCTTCCGCGTGCGGGCATAACCACCCCTAGTGTGTTTGTTCGCCCTCCCGTAACACCTCTACAGAAGCACCGATGCCCTGATGCAGCCTCTCCCTCCTCCTCCCTTTGCTCCCGTGTCTCTATTCCTTTCCCATCCTTTCCCTCTCATCCCCCGTTCCTCCTCTTCTTCTCTCTTCTCTCTCTCTCGTTCCTTTCTCTTTTTCCTTGACAATATATTGTTGACTCTACCTCCCCTTCCCGTGGTGTGACATGGGTAACAATTAGCCAGTTAATACCATGTGTTTGGACTTCATTATACCCTTGATCAACCATCAGCAATGCACCCCACACTGAGCAGCGCGGTAAAAAATTGTCCAATTAACCTCCCAAGGCTCATATGGCCCGCATCGGGCAGTGACACAATGACTACGTATGCATTTGCACCTTGCACTGCAGAATAAAGTTTATACTGCGTAAACTACATGTGCAGCACTTGCTTAGCTATATTTCACCAATGTTACGAACAAAATCATTCCAGTGCAAGCACATGACAGTTATTATACGCAGTAAGTGCATTCAGTGGAAAAACTCATTCTGAACCCGCAACATGCTTTGCATTTCAGGATGGCATCACCGTTCTTGCACACGTTCCGCACGTGACCTTGCGATGGTCACCACATAGTAAAGTGCCTGCCACAGAGTCGGCACTCTCCCATTAGCACGGTTACCTGCGTACGGAGCGAAAGAAGTTCAACGTACATTTATACAGGACCGGTTCAGATAATCATCACTGGTGGTGGCTGTGAGCGTGAATCGAACTCGTGTCATCGGATTCGTAGCGCAGCGCGCTATCTGCTGCAGCACTACCGCTCCCCCCACACACACACACACACACGCGTACGCATGCGGGCGCGCGTGTGTGTGTTCTGCGTATATACCGCACACACTATCCAACGCAGATGTCTTACTGCTCGACACGAATCGGGATCCGTCTCTCCCTCCACATCCATCTCAACCATCTGTGTTTATCCACAGGCTGAAGAAGGAGTTTTGGCCGAATATCCCCAACTTCGAACCGTTCATCACGAACATCTTGGAAGGCGACGATCTCCGTTTTCAGGTAACTAGAGCGCACGGCTCATCTTTACTCGTGCCGTCATTTGTCGCGTTTGCTGAATGGCACCCCCTCTCTCTCTCTCTCGAGGATACCCTGGGACGCTTTGGCACTGCCTGCCTGCACTGGCTGTCCCTAGGGCTCGTTGTTATAATAGAGGCACCACGGTGGCAACCTGTTAACTACATTGCCTGCTATGCAGGAGGTCGTGGTACCGTACCCAACGCTGATGCCTGTATATTTGGAGTTTGCGTGTTCTCCCATTGGTTGCGTTAATTTTTCTCCGGGTCCTCCGGTTTTTCCCTCCACATTTAGAATCGACGTGCGTGCAGAGGATTTGGCTGCTATAACTTTCCACGTGATGATGATAAGCCACTTCGTTGAGCTATCGTTCGTGATAGCCAAGTCGCGTCTGAAAAAGAGCTGTGTAGCTCAGTGGGCCTTACCTGGTAAAATAAAATAGTTTTTTTAAATAGTTTACTGTAGTAATGATGTCAACTTGTAACGCGTTGCCACACGGTATTCCAATTCTTGGTTCTTTCGGTAAAGTCACGTCGAAGGGAAAATGTTTTATTATTTCCCTTCTAAGTGACTTTACCGAAAGAACCAAGGATATGAATCCCTGCAGTCACGAAAGCTTTAAATCGAAATTGACACGGTATTCCCTCGCTCTCGAAGAGAGAGAGGGAGGGAGAGCGACTTGGAGGCACGAGGAATCACCGACAAGCGGGGAAGGCAGCAGCCAGGCGGTGAGCCGGCACTACCAACAATTGATTGCCCAAGCTCTACGGTTCTCTACATATTTTCTTTATATTTTGGGCCGATTAATGAGTGTTCGCACGTGGGGGGGAAATCAGAGCACCCGGAGCGAATCCCACGCACGCGAGGGGGCAACGCTCTGTCCGGTGCTGATGGAAACAGGGGTGACGTCAACATTTGCTGTGCCGCCTTCTCCCGGCGTGCCAGCGAACGGTGTCTCGACGCCCACGTGAAGGAGGCAGTTTCGCAGCATCGGTGCGACCCACCAACCCTCTCCCGCCTTCACAGGCGTTCGCCATCAGTTGCTGCATGTGCCACGGCGTTCCGTCTCTCTCTCTCTGCAGCGTTGCCCTGCCCTGACCCCTCTGCCCCTAATCCTCCTTCACGAATGTACAGTCTGGTCCGCATTTCTTGTGACCCACAATTAATTGACCCCCCCTCCCCAAATTTAGTTTCCCCCCTTCGCTTATTGATTTCTGCTTTCACATCCGTTGGTATGTGAAAATATTAAGAAGTTTTTGAGAACTAAACGGGGGTCACAACACATCTGGACCACCCTGTACTTTGCTCCGATTGCATGTCGATGCCGTGAACGTTGGCGCTGTCGTTGCGACGTCTCACGACCTTCAGCCGGGCTTGGCCATCGCTTTTATTTAACGGCGTCTGAGCGGCGGTGAGAGCGGTTCGCCATTGTGATTCCTGCAACTCTCTCTCTCTCATCCCGTAGCTCTTCCAGCAGAAGAAGCCTCAAGGCTGGATCGTTGAAGACCAGGCCCCAAGTAAAGTGGAAGTGGTCTCGGAGGTGGAAGTGAACGGTGTGGAGAAGCTGTTCGGCCTCCCGGTACCTCTGCCTCACCACCTCAGTCATCTCCAACATATGCAAGTCCGATACAGCAGCATCGCGCGCCCTAAAAAGACACTGCCGCTCTTCACCATCGTGCCACCAGGGCACCGGCCCTTGCCAGCGGCCTCACGCGAATCAAACTACGCCGGCGGCGACACCGAAGACGACGACGACGCGACGCCTTACTTTGGCCGCGCCGACGACAAGCTCCCGTTCCTCGACGGCACGCGGGCGGCGCCGTCTAGGGCCGCCGTCCTGGCCGCGCGGGGGAACGCTCTGCCGCAGGGGCTTCTGCCGCGGAACGTAGGCCGAGCGCAAGCCTACGACAGGCTCAGGGACGGAGGGGGCTCGCGAGGAGGAGGAGGAGGAGGCTACTCCGTGAGCGGCGCGAGTGGCCCCGACGACTACGTCTCCCCCTCGGCGCTTTGGAGGGAAGACGTTCGGCCGATCCTCGGCTTCGGCGAGGCGGGCGCTGCCGGCCTCGTCGTCTCGATAAGCGCGGCTGCGTCGTCTGAAATGGCAACCGGCGTGCAGGGTAACGGCGCAAACGGCGGGTTAAAATACGTGACCTTGATTCACAACCTGATGCCCTTGAGTAGCGACGGACAGCTTGATCGCCGCTCTGGCTGCGGGGAATTTGAAGAGCGGCTTTCATTGGCTGATTACTGCAGGGAAGCTTTCCTGTCCGGCCCAGAATGCAAAATGACTAACTCTGGCGGTGAGCATTGCCAAAGCGTCAAGGATCACATTGCGGCTGAAATGACGTCAAATTATCACGAGCGGCAAAGGTTGGAACCGCTTGAACAGGTGGCCAGCAGCGGACGGGTTGAATCGTGCGCCTTCAATTACGGCGTCGAAATGCACAACGGGTACGTTTCGGAGGCGGCAGCGTTTGACGGCGCCTCGGGAATCGTCGTGCGCGCGGGCGACGCCCCGCAGTACATCCGCATGGAGACGGTGCCACGGCTCGCCGAAGGCAACGAAACGGAGCAGATCGCGCCCGGACGCGTGCACGGCGGCGTCGAGGAGTTCGCCGGAGGTCGCCCGGCGCTCGCCGCCGCCGAAAACCCCAAGGGCCTCGCCGCGTCGGGGGAGTTCGGCGCCGGCTCCGCGCTGCTCCCTCTGGGCGGCTCATTTGCCGCCTCGTTGACTCGGCTCGCCTGCCCCGCGGCGAGTGCGGCGACCGCGGCGCCGCCGCCGCCGCAGCCGCCCTCGGCGATCGCCGTCCAGTTGTACGCCGACGCGGTGGCGATGCAGAGCTACACGAGCGTGCTGGTGGCGGAGTATCCCGCCGCTCACTGCCTTCCGTTGAGGCGTACGGAACAGGCGACGGGCGATTGGGTACCAGGGCACCTCCAGCAGGCTCTGTGCGGCGTCGTCGCGTGTTCGAGCGCGCTCCCTCTGGCTCGCGCAGGAGCTGTTTCCACGTGTGGCTACGTCACGCTGCCGTGACTGACGCGACGATGTTTTTTTACCGGCCCATTTAGCCGCTGCGCTCAGGAAGCTTGCCTGTGGAATATTGCAATGGAGGGGAATGGCACGCCGAAATAAAGGCATCGATATAAAACATCGACATGAAGAAAATGTATAAGACCAAAAACAATGATGTCTTTTGTTTCGGCGTATTTTTTTTTCTACGTCAAATATTTACAGCGAAGAGGAGTGTCTACAATTAATACCTGAGACGGAATAGCCCAGCCGGACTGCTCATTGTCGAAGCTTCTGGGACAGACGATGGGCGAGCGGGCACCGAGACCTTGACCGCAAGCCCTGGGCGGTGCCAGTCGCCGATTCAACTGGCCCAGGTCACTCGTGCAAATAAGACCCTGCTGGTGGCTCGAGTTCTCACCTGGCTACATGGCGAGATGTTAGCTACCTCGCCTGGTATACAAGAGGTCGTGGATTCGATCCCGACCCTGACACCAGTATATTTGGAGATTGCGTGTCTCTCTCTCTTCCCGTGGTCGTCTGGATTTTCCTCCGGATCCTCCGGGTTTTCCCTCCGTATTTAGAATCAGCATCACGCGTTGAGAGTATTTGGCCCCTAGAAATTTCCACGCGATAAGCCACTTCGTTGAACTATCATTTGTGGCCAGGTCACTTCTGAAAAAGAGCTAAGTGGGTCTTGCCTGGTAAAATGAAAAAAGTTTAGTTTACATGAACTGTGGCGTATATTGCTTCTGTTCATGGCTATGTCCCATTGCCTAAAATTATTTAATTCGCATAGCCCTTTATCCAGTGCTGGATAAAGGCTAATCCTGGCCAATTCTGTCACGGGGTTGTGTGGTAAATCACAACGGTCGTCAGTGCGAGTATTTGGTGACCAGGGGCCTGCCCAGGAATGATTTAGATATTGACTTGCTGCTGCTGCAGGTGATAGCCGTGGCCGGAAAACCAACTAAAGTTGTTTGTTCGGTTCCTAGTGCAGTGCACTGCAGAAGGTAATGTAAACTTTAAATAAGCATGCTCAGGCAGCACGAATGTGGACACATTTGCTCGTGGGAATATTGCAACTAAATATTACGCATCGCATTGCATCTTACGTTCTGTACCAAACTGCAAAAATGACATTAATATATTTTATTGTGAATAACATTGTTGTTCTGTATGAGTGTCTTCTGTTAACACCACATCACGCCATTGATAAGGTTTGCGTTTTAGACTGAAAACACATTCCTGCGGAGGGAACTGGTAGGAACGTTGGGTTGCTCGGTCAATGGCCAGGGTCAACGGCGGCGTGGTGCATTCCTCAAATATGGCCGACTGTGAGGGTGGGCACAAGCCGGCGTGAGTAGGTTAAACGTTGAATTTTATAAGGGCACCACCCGGTGACCAGCCCTTCCCCACCCAGCCCCACCCCTCCCACCCCCCACCCAGCCCCACCCTCCCCACCTAGCCCCTCCCCACCCTCCCCACCCTCCCCTCTCCACCCAGCCCACCCCTCCCATTTTTGGATGCACGACGGACGGACGGACACAATAAGCCCCTGTGGGCTGGTGTAACCAGGAGGTTCCTACCAGTATAAGCAGAAAAAATATTTTTTTAAAAGGTCTTATAACTGTTTAACAGCTCTCTGTGTCTATAAACACATCATTGAATACTGCACTGCATGTCTGTGTCCAAATATATTTTTTACTTTTTAACATTCCAGTAATCGGTGCTTGACTGTTGTATATGTAGTCCTGTATTTAAATTTTGCATGATGTTATTCTATGAATAAATAACAGATTTGCAGTGCGAAACAAGAGTGAATGGTGTACAATCCACGAACATATTTCTATTTGCTGTACAGTCAAAACAACAATAAGAGATGCAACAAGACTTGATATTTTGTCATTTTATTTGCACATTTCCTCCAAAGTCACAATATTTACAACAATAAAATTATTGTTGTAAAAATATACGCTGCCAAGCCTGGTGGTGCCCATTCAGACGCTGTCTTTCCGACAGACCTGTTCTTCACCTGAGGACGGCTGCTTGCGTTGTGGCTGAAACGTCGTGAGAATTATTTTATTATGTTTTATTTGTATTATTTTATTATTTCCCTTCTACGTGACTTTACCAAAAGATCTTCTTGAAATACAGGAATGCGACTGCATTTCCCATATATATGCTAAATTCCTCTTGATATGCAGATTCTTTTGTCAAGGCGCATTTCCCCCCCCTTCCAAACCAGCTTAAATAGACGCTCCAAGCGTGGTGGTGTTTCATTCAGACGCTGTCTCCCCGACAGACCTGGTCTTCACCTGAGGACGGCTGCTTGTGTTGTGGCCGAAACGTCGTGAGAATTATTTTATTATGTTTTATTTTTATTATTTTATTACTTTCCTTCTACGTGACTTTACCGAAAGAACCAATAAGATGAATCCCTGCAGTCACGAAAGCTTTCAATCGAAATTTACCAAAAGAACCAAGAAGATTAAAGACCTTGTCACCGATTGTTGGGCACAAGGCCGTCCACAGCAATCGCAGTCGTGGTGGTGGCGCTAAACCCACTCACACTTGGACCACGTGGTCCAGCCGCAAGCAGCACACCTGAGGGACAAGGGAAAATGATCCTATTTAACAATTTTTAAATCCTTTATATTAAGTTCGCTTGCTTGCTTAGGACCGTGCAAATCTTTAGGTCGTTTTTTAACCCACTTCCCGTGATCCAATCGAGCTGACATTTTGCACACAGACTCGTTGTGCGTGACAATTAATGTTTGTGAAAAAATGTTTCCAAAATTTTACACTTTTTAGGACGAAAATATTATATTTAATTACCAATTGCTTAATGGTGCAATGCAATCATTTGACCCATAGTTGGCAGCCATCTCAAGCCAGAGGACGAGAGGACTCTAGCCGCCACGCATATAAAGGATTAATAGTGAAAAACTTTGTTTTTACGGGTTATACTTATTTTAATTTACCAGGTAAGGCCCACTGAACTATATAGCTCTTATTCTTGGTTTTTTTCGGTAAAGTCACGTAGGTAAAATATTAAAATTAATAAAAGTAAAATAAAAGTAAAAATACTTGATACAGCAAGCGTGCTGTGACGGTTCCACCTGAAGACGAAGGCTTGTGTTGCCTCCGAAACGTCGTGATTTTTATTTTATTTTTATTTGACTTTTATTAATTTAAAATTTTTACCCACGTGCCTTTACCGAAAAAACCCAAGAATATGAATCCTTGCAGTCACGAAAGCTTCAAGTCTAGAATTATATAGCTCTTTATTCGGAGGCGACGTGGCTATCACAAATAATAGCTCAACGAAGTGGCTCGTCATCGTGTGGATATTTACAGCGGCCGAATAATCGAAGCGCATGTTCATTCTAAATGTGGAGGGAAAAACTGGAGGACCTGGACAAAAATCCACGCGGCCATGGGGGGAACATGCAAATTCCACAGAAACAGGCGTCAGGGTCGGTATAGAACCCACAACCTCCTGTATACCAGGCGAGGCAGATAACATCTCAACTTAACGAAACGTCGTGAGAATTTTTATTTTATTATGTAAATTTTTATTATTTTATTATTTCCCTTCTACGTGACTTTATCGAAAGAACCAAGAAGATGAACTTGACTTTTGCCACTTCTCGGTGAAAAGGCGCCTCAGATGACGCGTATCGCACGGGGAGACAAGCGTTGTGCAATAATGAAATTGCACTCAAAATTAAATGAATTCGAATATTGTATTACCACAGAGGCCTTTGTTCTTCTTGTGACCGGGCAACCGACCTGGCAGAGACGTCAAAACAATTTACGCGGCCGAACTTGGCATAATCTGCAGAGGGTTCCCGGTGTAGCAGGCTAAAATAACCCCTGCCCCGATTAAACCCGGGTATAGTTTCAAGTTCAAGTTCATTTATTAGGTATAGCCCTGTGAGCCATTCGGCTCTTGAATCGGGTGCAACCGCAACAAACAAAAAACATGAACAAAAAACATCTTAAAGTGAATATGTCACTAAGTGCAAACAGAAAATCCAAGAAAAGGCAGCAAAATATTGCAGAAAAAAAAATCACCGTACACCAACGCTGTGTGCAAAAGTCCCAGTGGGATGCAAGTCAAACAACAACAACAACCACAAGACAACTTAGATTAAGGCCATCAGTCTAACTCTGTACTACAACAAACAAACATGGCCAAACTGATACACTTTTCGAAATCACCAAAATAAAGCCATGAAAGTTTGGCCCAGGCCAGAGTATATCCGGGGGGATAAAGTGTCCTAGGCTGAACTATACCCCCCGAGGCTTTAAACTAGACTGGGCCAGACCATACCCATCCAGGCCATAAGATGCCCCGTGTGAAAGTTCAAACGAACTTCAATCGATATCTAAAACGTGTATAAATGGAAGTAAGAATCTCAATTTGATCAATTGAAGCATTTTTAAGGTTAGGGTTAGGGTTTAAGGTTATTATTATTAAAGTTTTTCTGGTTGAAGCAATCACAGTCTATATGTTTACAGTTTTTAATAAAATGTTGGAAAAATGTAGTAATTCATGTGTTTATCGCTCACCACTATTACTATCATGGGGGTATGATTTGGCCTATCGGGGTACAAATTGGCCTAGGCCATAATATACCCGGGTATAATCTAGCCTAGGCCGTTTTAACCCCGGGTATACTACGGTCTGGGGGTGTACTACGGCCTGTTACACCGGCATGTAAAGCCAGGGCTTTTGTGATGCTGGCTCCGTTTGTCAAGACCCAGACGGTCACAACCAATTCACATTGGGAGATATCCAGCACTGGACTGGCACCCAGCGTGTCTCACCAGTGCCAGCTAAGTTACCATCACCCATTGTTCACGACATTATGAGCCCCCCGCAAAAAAAGATTAGGCAACTGACGAGGGGGGGGGGTGAGAAATGTGACGTCACATCAAAATGCGCAACTTTAAATAAATATAGACAACACGTTCTACTTAATTAAATCGACTTTTTAATAAATGTTTTCTCCTACAACATCAGAGTGCAGCGGCACATTAAATACGCACTACAATGACGATAGTTCAAAGCGATTTGATTCTAGATTTGAAGTTTTCGTGACTGCAAGGATTCATACTATTTGTTTTTTTCGGTAAAGTCACGTCGTGATTTAATTTAGTTTATTCATTTTTTACCTACGTGACTTTACCGAAAAAAACAAAGAGTACGATTTGAAGCATGTTTTATTTATTTTGGGGGGGGGGGTGGGGCTGAGCTTTGTGACGTCATATTTGAGGGGGGGGGGAGTCTGACTTTTTGTGACGCCGTGTGACGAAGGGGGGGTGTGTCAAAAATCGTCCAAAATCGCGTGACGTCATTTATGGACGCCCCCTTTGTGCACCGAGATGAAGAGACAAGAGGAGAGAGAGAGAGAGCGAGAGAGCTGCCTCCAAAGTCATCCACCCTCGCGACGTAGCGAGACAACCAGCGCCAGGCTCCATGTGGCGAGACGCGAGCGCCACTTCATGGTCCATGTTGGAAAAACTGAGGCAGCCGAGACAACAACTAACAATCTTAATTTTGGAGCTTTCGTGACTGCAGGAATTATTCTTTGGTTCTTTCGGTAAAGTCACGTATAAAGATGCTATTATTTAATTTATTATTTTATCTTTATACGTGTGTATGCTATTATTTAATTTATTATTTTATCTTTATACGTGACTTTACCGAAAGAACCAAAGAATAACAACAACTTCCCCGGGAATGATTGTTCAATATTGATTTGAAGTTCTAGATCGACACAACTACAAAAAACTTCCCGGGAATGATTGTTCAATATTGATTTCAAGCTTTCGTGACTGCAGGAATCCATACTATTTGGTTCTTTCGGTAAAGTCACGTAGGTATAAAAGAAAATAAATCACGACGTTTCGGGCGCAACACAAGCGTCCGTCATCAGGTGGGTGTTAAATGTCAGGGTGTTAGGGGCCGTCCATAAATGACGTCACGCAATTTTGGACGAGTTTTGACCCCCCCTCCCCCTCTCGTCACACGGCGTCACAAAAAGTCAGACCCCCCCGCCTCAAATATGACGTCACAAAGCTCTGCCCCCCCCCCCCCCGAAACCATATTTCCATTTTGAAAAAAAAACACGCTTCAAATCGCTTTAAACTATTGTCATTGTAGTGCGTATTTAATGTGGCGCTGCACTCTGATGTTGTAGGAGAAAACATTTATTAAAAAGGAGGAAAGCTGAAATTGAGCATAAAATTCACTTTAAAATATTCAGCGTCTAACTAAAACTGCAGATGTTCACAATATTATATTGAAATTCTCTTATAATTCTAAAATATTAAAAATAATTATAACTATAAAAAATACTTTAAACTTTGTCGTAGAACGAAGCTAAATGGAGAGTACAATTATAACGATCACATGTTCATTTCGCAGAGGGCGTGAAGGAGGCAAATGATCGACAAACTTCACCGAGCACGAGGGCAACGCGACCACTTGCGCGGAGATGGAGCGGATAAATCAGCTCGTTTTCAGCAGCAGCAGCAGCAGAAGATGGTTTGTGGATATCCATTGCAGGGTCGCGAGAGATCTAGAGGCCTCGAGAGAGATCACAATATTTATTTAGAACTGGGGGAAATCCTATAAGCTATGAAGCGCTTTTCCACCACCCCACCCCCCACAATAGGGGCACCGGGTCAGAACGTTACAACACGAATACAAAAACACAACAGAGTGCAAAGTATGGGAAAGGTAAACCAAATAACTTACAAAAATAAACACAAATAAAAACTAAACAATGTTTTTTTTTTATTTTGACAGATCAAGCCCACTTGAGCTGTCGGCTTCTTTTGTACTAATAGATTAACAACGACGGGTGTTCGATTATATTCATTTGGGGCAAATTAATTCCCCTTTCAACAAATGTTCAGAAAGGAGAAGAAGAAAACAAATACGAGGTTAAGACACGCGGGACATTGAGTACAATTTAAATAAAATAAAAATGATCAACAACGAGACGACAGATCGTACAAACGTATCACGAGAAACGAAACAAAATAGATTTTTTAACATTTTGTGAAGTTAAAATCATTGAATGGGGGTCGTGGGGGTCGTGGTGGGGGTTCGTGGGGGGGGGGGGGGGAGTCGTGGGTGGGGGGGGGTCGGTGACGTCACTAACACAATCCCCCTACCAAGATGGCGGCACACGGGTATGGGACCCCAAAGGCGCCATTGCCGTGACGTCCGCGACTCCCCCACCCCGCACCAAGATGGCGATCTTCAGCGTCTACATTGTCAACAAGGCAGGAGGCCTCATCTTCCAGTACGACAACTACGCCCCGAAGACCTGAGGTGGAGAAAACCTTCAGCTACCCCCTCGATCTGGTGCTGAAGGTGCACGACGAGAAGATAGTCGTCGCCTTCGGCCAGAGGGACGGCATTAGAGGTGAGGCCCCGGTTAGGCCCAGGTTAGGCCCAGGTTAGGCCCGTCCCTCCGTGTTTGCCTGAGAGGCGGTACCGGGTCTAAGGCCTCTCGGGCGGCTTGAGGATTCAGCCGAGCCCGTGGTCTAGCTACGGCCTCCCTGGTGTTAATTGTAAACATAACGCTTCTGCCACTACTATACGTGTGGCTTTACATTATTGTTCTATCCGGGTATGCTTAAATTGACATTTGTATCGATAAAAAGGCCCGTGGCTAACCCTCAATTCGCAATCGTAATGTTGATGCTGAAACTGCTGCTTGTGGTAGACTTTGTGTTACTTCCTGTCATTGCCACCATCATCACCTTCTGTGGTATATAAAATAGGTACTGTTTTGTGGATAGCCAACACACGGACGTTGTGTGTGGTGTGTGTGGTCGGAGTGTGGACAGAGAGAGTCACGTACAGAAAGATCCCCCGTGTATGCCTTAACAGACTTTGTGGGATCACGTACACACACACACACAGAGAAGCACGTAGGGTCAGTGAGAGAGACATTGACCCAGGGCAGGAGAGACGTACGGGGAGAGACAACAACAACAACACACTTATACACGGGAAGATAGACGACCACAGGGAGACGCACAGATGAAGAGAGACACACACTAGGAGACAGACATTGCGTGCAGACACGTAGAAGACACGGAGAGACCCGGCCACAGACAGCATCTGTGGCAAGCATCTGTGTCGTTTTGGCCAGACCAGCCCGGAATGTTGTTACGAGAATTACATATTTTGAAGTTATTCGCATCGAGCCATGGATTTCCCAAAAAAACACTGACTATAGTCAAAATATATATATATATATAGGGTGAGTCCATGCGTCCAATTTCATACGTTTGTTAATATGATTATAGTGTACAATATAGGAGTATGCAAATGGATACCTTGTACTCTAGTGGTAGTGCCTTACGCCTACAATTACTCTTATAAGACAGCCTAACAGCGTCTGTAAAATAGTGAAATGAAGCCTTGTTGGCGAGTCTTAGCTAAATTAAATCACGACGTTTCGGGCGCAACACAAGCGTCCGTCATCAGGTGGGACAACCACAGCAAGAAACAATTGCTGAAGTGGGCAAAAAAAAATAACCAAAGAGTATGGATCCCTGCAGTCACAAAACTTCAAATCTAGATTGAGTCTTAGCTAAACCGATTCCGGTCACCCACCCCCCCCAGCCACTTCATCAACTCGCACCGACCAGCGTAGTGAAGTATGTTCAAACAACCCCCACGTTCCTTGCAGCGTGAGGACGCCCTCATCCAACATTGGAAGGGCTCCATATGTCGATACAGTATATCCACTAAAAAATTATGCTCACAAGCAAATTCCATCTAAGACTATGTAAAGCTTGTGTTGCCTCCGAAACGTCGTGATTTTTATTTTATTTTTAATTAAAAAAACATTTTTTTACCTACGTGACTTTACCGAAAAAACCTAAGAATATGAATCCTTGCAGTCACGAAAGCTTCAAATCTAGAACAAAACGTAGGTTTAATTTGTTGCGTCAGGGCCCATGCCAATAATTGCCGTCTGCTCTAAATTGAAAATCTCTCAACGCCCGCCGCCGTGTTGTTTCTCGCTGCGCCGCTCTCTCCTGTAACAGTGGGGCACGCCGTTCTGGCCGTGAATGGCCTGGACGCGGTCGGACGCACGCTGCCGGATGGCCGAGATGTCCTGGCGGTGATCAACAACCCTGAGAGTTACCCCTTGAACCTGCGCTTCGGTCGCCCGCGCCTCTCCTCCAACGAGAAGCTCATGCTCGCCTCCATGTTCCACTCGTAAGTACCCCTCCCCCCAAGTCGTGCTGTGAGACTTGAGCGACCAGACGAAGCGAAGATCGGCATCAAGGTCGTACATATTGAACGGTCTCCCCGCGCCTCCGATTAGCACTGTTGCCTACGTACGGTGCGAAGGAAGTTCTGCATGCATACATACATGAAGGAAGTCTGCATCGCATGACATAGTCACTTATATCGCTCAGCAATATATATCTTCTTGGTTCTTTCGGTAAAGTCACGTAGAATGGAAATAATAAAATAATACAAATAAAACATAATAAAATCATTCTCACGTCGTTTCGGTCACAACGCAAGCAGCCGTCCTCAGGTGAAGAACAGGTATGTCGATAAGAAACGTCGTGAGAATTATTTTATTATGTTTTATTTTTATTATTTTATTATTTCCATTCTACGTGACTTTACCGAAAGAACCAAGAAGATGAATCCCTGCAGTCACGAAAGCTTTAAATCGATATCAGCAATATATACTTACACTTTTTTTATTTTACCAGGTAAGGCCAACTAAGCTGTATAGCTCTTTTTCAGAAACGACCTGGCCACAAATGGTAGCCCAACGAAGTGGCTTATCATGTGGAAATTTATAGCCGCCAAATACTTTAAACGTATTTTTCTAAATGTGGAGGGAAAAACTGGAGGACCCGGAGAATCATCCAAGCGACCACGGGACGAGGTAATATGCAAACTCCAAATATACAGGTGCCAGGGTCACGATCGAACCCACAACCTCCTGTATACCAGGTGAGGTAGGTAACATCTCGTCATGAGTGTGAGTGTCCCACGTACCGACAGCCGGGTCGTGGACAATTGATCAAGCCGGCAAACACGGTGAGGCGCAGTGATCCACCTTGGTGATGAGAGGCCTCATCAGCCATGGGACATTTATGTAACCGATATGTGCCATATAATGGTGATGGCTCCTCTCATCTGAGACCCTAATATCTAGGTACTCCTATTATTCGCGTCCTAAATAGTGTCAGAAAATCACATGTTTGTGCTTGTCTATGGATAGGTCAGACAGAAGTGGTCACCCAGGAATGTTAAACGAATCCGGATAAGAGGAGTCACCTGGAAGTGAATAAAAACTCGTCCTATTCGTGTTTATCCATGGATTAATCCGTTTGTACAGCGCCATTTTCAATCCACTGCTGGATGATGGCAGGACCTTCCTGAATAAATGTAGCAGGACCTTCCAGAAAAAGAGTCTCGGGACCCCGTGAAGTTTTGCTGGATTAAGATCGTAAACATTGCATGCGTACGACCTTTTGTCAATCCACATTGGTCAGTGCGTGCTGATGAAGGCGGGAAACATAGACGTTCTGATCTAGTACAGTTCAATTAATTTTACTGCACTGCCCTAATACTGACAATCTAGGGCGCATTATTGTTATTACCCCGTTTAACAATGTACACGCCTTGTCTGTGTTATGCAGACTCTATGCTATTGGGTCTCAGCTGTCTCCTGAGCTCAAGAGCACTGGCATAGAAGTCCTGGAGACCGACACATTCAAGCTGCACTGCTACCAAACTCTTACGGGTGAGTGCTCACATGCTTTACATATTTAATATAGTGGTGGGAAACCCGATGAAACTCAGTGGTTGTAAATGACTAGGGTTTGTGGATACCTTTAGCGGACTGCGCTATAAACCCAGACACCTGGGTTCGATACCCGGCCACGGCTAACATCTAGCGAGTTGTCCTGGGCCTCCCCTAGGTCGACTCACCCTTAAATGAGTATCTGGAGCGGTGTTTAAACATCAGCATAGGGGAGACGTATGCAGCTGGGCGTGGTGCCAGTAAGACCACCCCCACTGGTGCCATCGCAGCCTTATTAGGTGCTCGCTAACCGCAGTTAGGCCTCAACAGCAAGAAGCTTTTTGATGCGCTTTCCGATTTGAAGGGCACGCATTTTGACATGATGTATCGCGTTTGGCTCCAATATGCTGGGAGCTTCAGGAAACGAATTAAATTCCATTCAATTGAATTAGTTTCACTTGAGACATCATGCTGAGACATTGTGCTGAACAACAGGGTGGGGTACGACCGGAAATCTCATCGGAGAGCCGTAGAGCACAACTGCGAAAATCTACATGTAAGCCTATGAGGCTACACCAAGTATTCATGGTCTTTGTGTATGTGCGTGTGTACTGTGTTGTGTACTGTGTGCAGGAGTGGTCGTGTAGCAGTTAGAGCGCGCTGCGTTAAAAACCTGGAGACCCGAGATCGATTCCCACTCACGGCCAACACCAATGACGATTATCTGAACCGGTCCTGGGCCTCCCCTAGGTCGACTCAGCCTCAAATGAGTACCTAGTGGGGTCTGTTAACATCGCCGATGGGGAGACAAAGCCGGTCAGGCGTGATGTTGGCCACCCACCCCCTTCGTGTGCCGCGCCGGCCTTCACAGATTCTCGCTAACAGAACTTGTCCCAAAAGTCTGTTAAGGCTACACGGGGTGATCTTTGTCTTTGTGTGCAGGAACCAAGTTCATGGTGCTCTGTGAACCCCGGCAAGCAGGGATGGATGCTTTGCTGAGGAAAGTGTATGAGTTGTATGCGGACTACGCCCTCAAGAACCCATTCTACTCCCTAGAGATGCCCATACGGTGAGAGCCGTTGCATTCTGGGGCACATGGTGGTAGCTCCTTCACAGGATACTCCTCGCCAGTGTAGTGGGTTCACAAGCGACAGAGACGGTGTAGTCGAGGCACATTATTTATTATAACTTTACACTCGGCACAGGGCAACGTATACAACACTTGAAGGGGCAATGGCCCTTTCACCCGTACTGGACTGGGATACACCCCTAGGCTATCTGCCTAACTGTTCTGCTCCCAGGTCCTCCACTAAGGGCGCTAGGGGAGGCTATCTGAGCCGGCCCTGGTCAAGGCACAGGTCACGACACCCAGCCAGACAGACCTGGCTCTTAGAAGAACATCGGCTCTGAGGACGGCGAGTCAGAGGAGTTCCAGGGCCTATCTGCCCGGTCTTCAGTCTTCACTGATTCTTCGCTCCTTAGCTCCCCAACACTGCACCACGAGCCCTCTCGCTTCCCCGCCTTTTATACCAATTTGCCACCGAGGGGTGGAGCTGTGTGGGATCCCAGCATCCCCCCACAGCCCCCCAGGGCGGTAACCGTTTGCGGACGTGGATGTGGACACCCCTGTGTGCTTGTCCGTTTCCCTCCCGTAACACCCCTACACCAGTGAGCGTCATTGCGGGGCGAAACCTGGCCGAATATCCAAGACATCGGAGCAAATAATGTCGGGGAAATGTAACATGGTTCAGGGGTGGAGTATTTGGCGCAGTGATTGGCGACTTGTGCACTGCTCTGAAACCGATGACCTGAGTTAGATTGCCGGCCACGGCTAACATCAGTGATGATATCTCAATCCGTCCTGGCTTCTACCCCCCCCCCCGCCTTTCGCGAGCCCACACTAACTGGTGTGCATTGTGTCGTAGGCTCACAGATTCACTCGCTTGTCGGTATGCTGGGGTTTAAAAAAACTCCGATCCTCGCCACCCATGGTTACCAATCTCCGTTTAGATACAAATAAAGCAGTCATACGCTGCACGAGAACACCCACAGTGCTGTTAAATAATCTCGTCAAATCTCAGAAGCTAAGCAGGATTTTTAAGCCTAAAAAATGCTCGGGTGGGTGACCACCACGCACATGCAGCTTGTTATTGGCTGCACCTGGCCATCTGCCCTTTTGATGATGGTTAAAACCAAAGTGTTTGCCTTTGCTGGCCAAGGCGACATTGTCGTCACAATGTGGCATTCCGAGATGACGTAATTGAGCGTGGTGCATTTTGCGAAAGCATACGTCATGTGCCGCGTGACAACAATTCGTGGGCCACGTAATCTTACTTTATCATTCATTAATCACGCTTGTGAAGCCAACCGCACGTTGTAAATCGGTACAGAATCCATGCGTACGTGTGATTTTTTTTTCTAGTATTTAATGGACATGGAAAGGGAGCTCCGGTGCAAGTTACTCATTCTTCATGATGATTTCAACTTCGCCCCGATAATCTGCCCCTTGCAGGTGCGAGCTCTTTGACCAGAACTTGAAGGCCGCCTTGGAAGCCGCTGAGAAAGTGGGCACGGCAGGGCCGGGTATATGACCTTGAGCCGTACGCGACGACATCACAACTGCAACTACCCTGACCCCGTTCTCTCCCAATGGAGTCTCGCCACGCCCAGGGTTGCCGTAATCTCATTTTTCGTGCTCGGGAATTTTCCATGTAAATTTACACGACATGACAAATTACACTGGTCAACACACACTTTTTCTGGCACAAGGTATTCCAACGGTTTTAAGGTAATTTTGGGGTGCCGATTCCAAATCTGGCATCAGTTTTTGTCTATCCCATCAGGTTTTTGAGATATCAAATATTGCATTTTCAATAAAAACTGCAGAAGAAAAATATTAAATAAATGTGGATGTCTACATAAAATTATATTATAAATACACTATCCTAAAAATACAGCACCATATTTGAACACTAAAGCAGTCACTGACTCGCAACAACTTGCAATCATAAGTGACAGAGTTAATTTTGGGTAAAAGCAATGAAAATGGGGTATACCGATAGCATAAAATGAGATGTGATAGAGCAAATCTGAGATCAGATTTGGAATCAGCACCCTGAAATAAGTCTAAAACAGCTGCAAAAGTCCAGGCCAGAAAAAAACTTTTTTTTGTTGACCAGTGTTATAGCAATATCGGTTTTCCTTCTAAGTTTATCATTGTACTTTGCGTTTCTATACTTTCAGTACGAATAAAGGTAAAAAAAGTCATTCGACTGCAGTTCGCTGTCTGTAATACATCTTCTATTCATAGCAAATGTACAATCTGTACGATGTGTATGTTGTAGTATCACCATATCGCGGCAACCCGACACCTACTCACAACCGTTTGTGCTGATCTCACGGGATAACTTTGGGCAATGTAATTATTATTATATGTATAAATGTTTGCCAGTTAACAAACACGTTTTTATTTATGTCTTTTTGTTGGTCCCTTGAATAAATTACTTCCGTTTCAGACGTTTCTTTTTAGATGTTCATCCTTTATTTGCTTCGTGAGCACTCTCCCTCTACGTTCTATTTAGACGCAGGGGACTGTGTACAGAACGTGGTTAATCTGCCCAGGTGGCTTGGTGAATGAGCGAGCTATCGGAAGGTTGCAAGCTCAAAAGCTGATTGGGAGGTTGACCCGACCCATCATCCCCTCTGGTTGTTTATCAACATGAGCACCACTCTGTGTAGAAGTTAACAGCAGTTCTACTATGCTACACCTTCCCCCACCATGGGAATGTGGGATTACCATCACTGGCTCGGCTGTAAACGGGAGATGAGCGCTGCTTCAACACTCACCTGGGCAGGCAACCCCCTTTGACTTGACACTTTCACTGAACTTTGATTCTGCCAACTTTTGCACGCACGTATCCTTATGGAGATAACTCGTAGACCAATCTACCAATTTCAATGAGTCATTTGAAAGCTTGCGATATGTATTGCATGCCGACAGGTTGAAAGTTGATAATTGTTTTTTTTACCCTTTTATCTGGCAACCAAACTGACACCTTTTTTACAAGGAGTCATGTTTGCATAGACCACAATACCTGCAGTCGGAAGGCAAACAAAAAACATAACTCTGATAATGTATGCACTGTCCTTGAAGTTGCCAGATAAAAGGGTAAAAAAAAACTATATTTTTCTACTGGCAAATGAGGTTCCAATGGTGAGGTTGAAAGTTGTCAACAAAAATATTGACCCATGACCCGATAATTCAGCTCCGAGCACTGCGCATGTGATGGATAGCCGTGTGTGGAGAGAGCAGCTGGCATTGAATCTCAACTTGTATACACTGGTGAGGTTGATGACAGCTGAGTGGCGAGTCAGGTGAGTGGTGAATGTCAAGGCAGAGCCGGCCCAGCCACTAAGCGACCCTTGCAATTGCAAAGGGCCCCGTGGCCAGCAGAGGGCCCCCTAGAGTCACTGCAAGCTAGTGGGTGAAAAAAATCATACATCAAAGGGGCCTCCAACAAAATTTTGCTTAGGGCCCCCAAAGGTCTAGGGCCGGTTCTGTGTCAAGGTGTGTCGTTCCATCTGAAGGATGTGCTACCCCTCGTGTGTATGAAAATTAATGTCATTTATTGGCAAATCACATCACTCTAGTAACATTGTATTTATAAAATGTGTATATATCACCAGACGTGTCCTTTACATACCTGTCTCCACGTAACAAAAGCATTTTTTTTACACAACCCGTGGTGCCCACTGCCTTCTGGGAGTGAATACTCCCAGCAGCATTCAGTACCAGTTTCTTATTACCAAAGTATGAGGGGCTGGGTGGGGAGGGGAGGGGCTGGTCACCTCGTGGTGTCCTTATAAAACTCAACGTTTAACCTACTCACGCCGGCTTGTGCCCGCCCTCACAGTCGGCCATATTTGCGGAATACACCACGCCGCCGTTGACCCTGGCCATTGACCGAGCAACCCAACGTCCCTACCAGCTCCCTCCGCAGGGGCAATGTGTTGATTGACGATGATGAGACCACGGGGCTCGGATCGCGGCTGTGCCAGGGAGGGTGCATCGTGGGGTAGCAGGGTCAGGACACAAACATTGGGCCCTTTTTGAGTGTCGGTTTGCATCTGAAAAATATTAAGACAATCCTCTGATCAATTTGTCCAGTCTCTTTTAGAGTTAAGTCACAAATGGCAACAACTTCATACTAACGTTTTACTTGAATTGGATCACCTTCATGGGCGTTTTCGTGCCCCTGTTACGGATGGACCGGTGGTAAAACAGACGGGCAAAGTTAATGCACACACGCTCTTACCGGAGTTTTGGCGAGGCGTTAAAAACGAACAATCGCACGAACCGAGCACTACACATTGTGGGGGACATGGCTCCGTTTATTGAGCTGACACCAATGTCCAACCGGGTCTCGGACACACAACCGCGTGGCACAACCGCGTTGGAAGTCGTTCGCGCAAGCAGCGGTTTTGGCACGGGGCGTATACAGGAAATGTCGCACCTCGTTTTCATAACCACTGCGAAACCCGTCTCCTGCCGGCCCAGTTCTAGCCCAGGTATATAGCACCAGGGCCTGGCTTCGTGTCCCCTTGGCTACGTGTCCCCACGGTCCGTGAGCCACGATGCTCCGTGCACTCGGCCCATCCTACTCTACAAACCCCTGACCCTTCCCATCCGCCTAACCAATGCGCAAGTGGCGGCGCTTGGAAATAGAGCTTACAAGTTACCGACAAAGTTTGAACGCAGGCATCTGCGTGTACAGCCCCTCTGTCCATACTGCTGGATGAGGGCCTCGCCTCGCAGGCCAGGCTGTGGCGGTTATTTCCCCACACTTTCACCACGCTGATCGGTGCAGAGCCGGTGAAGGTGGGCTGCATAGAAGTTTAGAATAGCAAAGGAATCGCCGCACTTCCCTCCGTTTGCCAAAATGACGTAGCCGTGCTGGCGGCCGACAATATAATAAGCCGTCGTGCGTGGCAGTCGCCGCCCATCCGAGGGGTGGTTGCCCCATCCACCTGTTGGATCATCTCCACGAGACGAGCGTCGGCTCTTTCAACCTTAACCGCAAAAGCAAACCCAGAAGAGCAGGTCACCTGACCGGGTGTGCAACCTCTAACAACCAGCCGTGCGTGCTGGTCACCCCCCATCCCGAAACATCGTCCAGGATTGACCCCCCCCCCCCCACTTTTGCTCAGCTCTCAATATGTGACGAGATCGTGAGCACTCTAGGTAATTTGTTCATAGGCAGGCATGGATTGGGGTGAAATGTGCGAGGTTCAAGTCACCTGGGTCTTTGTGTGTGCCGATGGTGGTGTTTAAAACGCTTATTCAGTGCAGACGCATCTTTGGGGTGAAGGTTAATCGGCTTACTTGCCGTGGCATTGAGCAGCAACCAATAATTAATCCAGCCTGCGCGTAGAGATATGTTGCTTATTCCTTTCGCCCACCGACGTACATGCGTAGCTTGAACTTCTTTCGCACCGTACATAGCCAACCGTGCTAATCGGAGGTGCAATAATCGAGAGGTAGTGGAAATTCGTTTACCAAAGGGTCCTTGGGGGATCTACTTGGAGGCAGCGGTGGGGGGTGAACCAATTGGGATTGATGCGGCCCTGGCCGGACTGCTGTGGAGACACGGGACATCTGGCCCAGCCTCGTGCCAGCCGCTCTGAGCTAGGCCAGCTCCCCCCTACTGGTGGTTTGGGGGGACACACACAAGGCATCAGGGTTGGCAAAATCGTTCACAGCAGCCAGTTGCGAGAGTCCGTGTTCTATAAGGGGATAATGTACAGGAATGAAATATCTCCACATTATCTCTTCCAGAGACGCATATACTATGCCGGTGGGTTTCGTACTCCCAATCTCTCTGGCCATACTCTGGGTCCACGTTACATGGTCCTCCTCCTCGTCGTCGTACAGCTGATGTAGATGCAGAGCAGCGACTACCATTTCACGTGTGCAGGTGGTCAAGCCAGACAGCCGCGTCAGGAGCAGGGGAAGTGTGTCGCTGTGAAGGGTTCTCCAAGAGGATGAGACGCGTAAGAGTGCAGCCATGTAACGCGTGTGGAGAGAAGTCTGGCTGATGTGAAGATACGGACTGGAGATAGGTTGTTAGGACTGGAGTTTGCCGACCACTGACTCAACACCGCTTGCCGTCGAAATTATCTAAATCCTATTGTTAACAGCAGCAAATCTCAACAATCTAAGTTTTTTTTTCATTAAATTAAAATTATCTTAAAATACGATTAATAGCATGCTACCTAGTTCCAGCGTCGCATTTTAAAAACTGCAGCTAAAATTACCGTGGTTGTATTGCACGAGAAGTCGCCAGGCGTTTTTCCAACGCGCAGCGCAAACGCGGCCAGTGCGTCAACATTTCTCGCAATCTTTTGCAGTCGCTTACATTTCTTTTTTGCAAAGACGCATTCGCCGAACAACTCTGAATACTGCTGTCGCCGACAATAAAACACGTTTGATCTGCTCACGCGGCCTTAGCTTTCACATTCAGCCTCGGTGTTTCTCACACACGCGCGCACACACACACACACACGCACACATTGCACACCTCTCTCACACTCACTCCTAGTATCCGCCCCCACCCTCCTCCGCTGTAAGCTCATGCTGCCAACCTTGCGGATCCCGGTTCGACTCCCAGTCGTGGTGCGACGGGGGTCGGCCTGCAACGAGAGTTTGCGGGAGCGGGAGGGGGGGGGCAGGGGGGGGTCGTGTTATGGGCAGAGGTCACGCGGTTCGGGCACGAAAGAGTATGGATTCCTGTAGTCACGAAAGCTTCAAATCAAGAACGAAAGGCAATTTTTATTTTATTTTACCAGGTAAGGCCAACTAAGCTACGTAGCTCTTTTTCAGAAGGGACCTGACCACAAATGATAGCTCAACGAAGTGGCTTATCACGTGGAAAATTAATGCAGCCAAATACTCTAAAACGCTTGTTGATTCTAAATGCGGAGGGAAAAAATGGAGAAATATCCACGCGACCACGGGAAGAACATTCAAACTCCAAATATACAGCAGCAGGCGTCAGGGTCGGAATCGAACCCACGACCTCCTGCATACCAGGCGAGGGAGTTAACATCTCCTCGCCACCGTGGTGCCACAACACATCAAGACACGATGATCAGTTCGGTTACTCAACGAAGAGGATAACACGAAAACAGCTCGGGGGGAAAAAACCAGCTCACCTCTGTTCCCACGTGTGCCGCTGGACGGGAGGTGATGAGGGGGCGGGGCTGGGTGTCGCGTCGCGCTGGGCGTGGCTTGTCGGAGGGTTTCCTGCCTTCTGGAGGCCGGACGTCAGGGTGGCCGGCGATTTTTAAGGGGAATTAATAATCGACTAGAAAAGCATCAGTCGATCACCGTGTTTAGGTCGATCGATCGACTTAATCGAGGAATCATCCCGGGAAGTAAATGGCGCTCTTTTCTTTACGGACTGGGACCTGCCAGAGGAACGTGGAGCGTCCACCAAGTTGTGTACAACCACCAATTT